ATCTAGATAGTTTACTGTAATTCAAACCTGATATCATCTACTACTATTCAATACAAGTAGTGATTACTTAGTTACTGCTAAGTTAAAAATTAAACTGCATTTGCAGTTTTATTGTAATTCTAAATCACATTATATTATAACTGCAATTGTAGCTGCTGCATTAGTTACAGTTTTAATTATGAAATTAACTGCAATGAGTTGCCAGCTTTGTTCAAAATTAAAGATCCTATACTTTGCCAAATGACAATAATCTTAGAAACTGCTGTATGCAAGGGCACATGAATATTTAACCCTTTGTGGTCGTATGTCCACTCTCAGCCATCAAAGCCTTTTTACCGTTCCGGTCGTATGTCTGCTCTCGGCCACCACAGCCTTTTTACCGTTCCGGCCGCATGTCTGCTCTCAGCCACCACAGCAAAGAACTATACGAATCGTATACTGCATGCATTAATGTATCAGTTTACACTTTTCCTATACGAACCTCAATGCCTAAAGAACCTATTCACGAACCAATACAGTGCTCCATCGATTGGAGATAACGTAATCTAATTTGAACAAAAGTTGTGACCCAGCGCTCGCCATGCAAGATGCAATGGCGAGTCAGTCATCTTTTGGACATAATGAAATCGACAACGTTCGACGATACCTTGTAGAATTCCAAAGAATATTTTATAAATTGTATTTAACAGTAATTAGACATTCTCTCTTCTTAAAATATTCCAAAATAATTCCCCAAAATGGCAAAAGAAAGTTACCACAAGAAGCATTCGGTGAAAACTGACAATAGCGATGAAGAGTTTTACTTTGGCCTCTTGAATACTGACTCTGATAGAGAAAGTGATAATGATTACAGTTACTCTGATAGTGACAAAGTTCCTGTGAAGCGACAAGTAAGGCAGTTAAACAATATCCAGCGACAGTGAAACAGAAGAAAATGATGAAAATGAGAATAGTAATACAGTCAAAAGTCATTAATCCGGACTCGTCGGGACTTCGGCGATTCCAGATTATCGATTTTTCCAGATTATAGATCATCAGTTTAAATCTTGTAAGATGGCATGCAGAAATTCTAAAATTAAAAATATGAAACCGTAATTTATGAAATAAAGAACAATTATGATCTAAAGGATATCAAAATTTGCAAAAAGAAAAAGCTTAATATTTATTTGTTTACTTTATTAAAACATTTCTTTCAATGTAACTTGTTTAAGTTTTGCTTCGTTTCATGTGATAATACTTTCTCTTTAATTCTATTAAACAGACATAATTTCTTGTTCAGTTTACAAAGTTCCACTGTTCAAGTCCTATAATTGCTGTGTCAAGAACACCGACTAATTTGTCAATCGAAATTTTTTCGTTTTCAATAACCTCTGTCACTTTTCTTCGCTATCGGAAGCGAATGGGAATGACGAAGAACTTGTTTTAAATCATATCAAAGACGGAGCATATCGAGATGAAATACTACATTTGGTAAGGAATTATAAGCCAAAATAAAATAAAAACATCTGCGCTGAAGATAAGGATAGTGCTGACAGATCAACTTCCAATTCATTATTACGCGCCCGCGGCGGCGTTCTCCCCGCCGAGCAGCGTGAAATTGATAAACGGATTTCGGATTTCAAAGCATACTTTCGCTTTAGATCCTTTACATATTAACAAATATATATCGGAAATTCTATTTGATATAATCGAAAGTTTAAGCTTACTTTTATAAAATTGCTCTTACAGTCTGCAAAAAATAATAAGCCGAATCCAATTCGAAAATTAAGGAACAACGCAATCATCAACATTAACTGAAATAGATAATTAGATAATTTTAGCTTATATGTCCATTATACATAAAACGCGCACACAAAAACGTATTCTGCACTTGCGCACACTCATATGCGCAGTCGTAAAAGGTCTTATGCGCACGCGTAACGCCTATGCGCATGTGTCAACGCGGCGCATGCGCAGAAAGTTTTTAGTTTTGAGGTCCGGATTATAGATCATTCCGAATTATGGGTGTCCGAATTAATGACTTTTGACTGTATAAACGAATTTACTACTTGGAGAGACGTTACGTGCACAGATCAGCAACAATCAAAAACTAATTTTTCGATGGGATCGAAGAAAAATATCACACGAAGGAGAATTATAAAACATAATTTTTATACAAAGACATATCACTAGATTAGTGTATTGAATAAAGATATATCTAAAGTTCACAAAAGAATTACTACTAAATCTTGTTTATCCATCGTAAACTTGCGTGTTATGTATTCCTGCTCTGTCAATGGAAATTAATTCCGACCAGTACGATACCCATCTCTAAATTTAATCCGACCATAAAAGGTTAATTAAGATCTTATATTTTGTGCACTGACAACAGTTCCTGAATCTAGATTATTTACGTTCATTTCATCTACCAATTTCAGAAGCTTGATCACGTCTGCAGATTTACTTTTCCGGAGGGCAATATTTTATATCATATGTAAAAATAATGTGCTTCCCTCAAGGTGTAATAAACCAAAAGTACTGACAAATTTTGAATTCTAGTTATTGTGCATATACAGGATAATTATAACTGTGGCTATAAATGGGAAGAACATGATATTTAATAAATAAAGGTAACATACAAACTGGTGAAAAAACACCCCTTTGGGCATAACATAAAATCTAAAAGCATTCAGATTTTTTTTATTGTTATTTTTTATTTTAACTGTTTCAAATATGCATTGTATTTAATAAAGGCCTAATTCATAGTTAATACCATTACTAAAATTTGCAGTTTGTATGTTGTATGTTATTTTTAGTATGTTTGTATGTTAATTTTTTGCAGTTTGTATGTTAATTTTATTGTAGGTGTAACTGTGATGCAGTTGTAATTACAAATCATGTAATTAAAATAGCAATTGCAATTATATTGTAATTGGACTTATGATGGTTACATTATAATAAAGGATTACAATTACAGTGTAATTGCTTTTATTGTAGTTGCACTTATAATTACGTTGGAAGTATAAGTAATTGCAATAACAGTGTAAGTAATTACATTGTAATTCAATTACCGTATTTGACGGCATATAAGACGCACTTTTTTTCCTAAATTTGGTCTCAAAAAAGTTACCTGCGTCTTATATGTGAAGGACACAGTCTTGTACGTGAAGGTAATTGCATTCAATAATTGTTTATTTGGCTTTTACGAAACGTGAGAACTAAAAGAAACCACGCTATTGAAACTTTTATTCCTTGTGTGTGGCCGTCTAAATAAGGATGCGTCTTATATGCCGTCAAATACGGTACTTATATTTGTAGTTACATTGTAATTTAATTATTAATCAGTTACATTGTAATTTAATTATTAATCAGTTACATTGTAATTTAATTATTAATCAGTTACATTGTAATTTAATTATAAATCAGTTACATTGTAATTGAATTATGCTCAATTGTGCTTGAATCATTTGTCTAAAAGGAGACACTGAACCACTGAACCTGGTTCTAAGAAGTCATTGTTTGAAAAATAAAATTTGTCCAATTTTGTGCATTTCCACACATTTTCATGTAGAATTCTTTTCTTCACACCATATCAAAGTCAGTTTAAAAGTTAATAAATATAGCCACCAATCTGTCTTTCCTGGCTGGTTCATATTTTCTTTTGTTGCAAGACTTTTCTTTTTTCTACTGTGCTATCATTTTACTTTTCACAGTTGATTAATAATAGTTTCCTCAGTTACATTTAATTAATAATAACTTAATATATGGGAGGTATTTTATTAACTACTGACTACTAATTTATAAATACATCAAATCAATTACAATTATTCTAAATGCTAAGATAGATATATAGTACTGGAAACTATGTTTAATTAATTGGGTAAGTCGGGCAATTTGGTTCCACACCGTTCCATATTTTTTTCCAGAAATTCAATGATATCTGTCCACATAAAATGGAGTCTTTTAGCAGTCAGACATTCTGTTAATTTGATGTAAATACTGGTGAAGGAGATAGATTAATAACTTGGCTATCTAACAGGATTTTTACCAAGCTTGAGGAATACAATCACTTTAACTTTTTACTATTTGCTTGGAAGACCATCTGTCAAAATGAGGTAATAATTTTAAGTAACACCACTGATGTTTCATTAAGTTTAACTAGAAATTGGGTAAAATTTTATCAGAACTAGGGCTTGTGCAAAGGGATAAATCATGAAGGCCACATTTAAGTTCCCACATAGTAAATAAGTAGTTTAAAATATCAGTTGCTGTGTGTAAATAAATCTATATATTATATATATCTTATCTCATTCTTATGAAATCTTATTAGAGGGCCTGTAATTGCTAACGCAAGTGTACTATTTATCGAAAGCTCTAGCAAGCTTTGTAGTTAAAGTAAGCAACTTATTTGCCATTCTAAATAGGCTTACTTTTTTTTTTTTTTTCATTTTTCAACCTGCCTATGAACTCTTAATAAATGTGATTTTAAGGTAATCAGCCTCATCAAAATTGCTTTCGATTGTATAACTCAAGATGTGATTTAATAGCAAAGCATCTGCCTAATGTATAACTGCAAACATTACCTCAACTTTGACTTCAGTACTCTGTAGGAAACAGCCCTAATTTCGTCTTAATATATGTCATGTAGGTGGTACTGAGCAACTGAGACTATAATATTTTTATATTAATACATATTGTCATCAATAGTATATCATATCACTTCATAAAGGAAATAAAATTGTATTTCTTGGTTAAGGAAATCTTTCCGTTATTGAGAAAGACAGCATCAAAAGGTATATTTTTTTAATCTATCGTTTTGATATAGTACAAGTGAAATATTATTGAATGATGGAATAAGCAGTATTTCTTCATACAAAATAGCTTTTCAAGTGTATTTTTCTATGTTCCATATATTGCTTTTCTGTATGCACTACTTAGCTTTAAAAAAAATGAAATAACTGAGAATTTTTATATTTTAAGGCTATATCTGACATCTTACAATATTTTAATTATTTTTTAAGGTTAGTATAGGAGATGAAATTGATCTAGTTAAAGGCTATAATCCTGATAACAGTCAGCTCATTGATGTTCATCGAGTTATAATTAAATCAGTTGGAAAAGTCACAGGAACTGGGAATTATCCTCTAAAAATGGAAGCCTACAAGTCATTGCCTATTGAAAATTATAAAGTACCATGGACTCCAGAGAAACTTGAATAATTTACAATCTGTTAGGTAAAAGGAGTTTTTTTTTGTTTTTAATCATAAGTTCTTACATTTGTAGATAAATTTAAATCTGTAATTCCAGAAATAAAAATTTATAAATATTTGTGAAGTTTTTGATTTAGAATCTGATTTTTTAGCATGGTCTAATGATGAAAGTTTCTGTCATACTGTCAATAATTTGTATGAAGTAAATAAAATTAAAATGGTGTATGACAATAAAATTTTAGATAAAAAAAAAATAGCTCAGAGACAAATGCGGATGTTTCACATTGATAGGAAATTTAAGGTCCCCCTACTTGAACACAAACTTCACAGCATGATTTCATGTTCTCAGATGGATGGTTAATTAGAGTTCAGGAAATAAATTCTACTCATCTATCAATATGATATTCAAGATACTGAGATCTCTAGGAGAAGAATTTCTTCCTGCAACAACACTTCTGAGGTTGTCTAATGAATTTTTTGTTTGATACAAATCGGATTTAATCAATCAGTTTATTTACTCAGTGCTTTCAAGAAATCCTTTACCTAAATTTTCTGTAGGTAGGAATATGGTAACATTCATAAAAAGAATGTCAGATCCATGTACTCTATATACAAACTTACTGTAAGCAGATTCATGACTACATCCCATTATGTATGGGCAGGGGCGTAGCTAGAGTTTCCAGCGCCCTGGGACAACTGAAGAATTTGCGTCCCTTTCTGTGTGCCAAGAAGGGAAAATATTTCATTAAAAAATTTCGTAGCATCAATTTGGCACCTCTTGGATGCTACGCCCTGGGACAGATGGCCCCCCTTGCCCCACCCTAGCTACGCCACTGTGTATGAGTAGACACATCTGCTGGTAAATGCTTCATGGGTAATACATCTACTAATAATCATGATGACACTTATTTTTTCATTTTTATTGCTGCAATTGCTATATTTGAGGGGGATATTTTGTGCTGTTGATTGCTTGTGTTAATGTATTAAACCTTTTAATGTATTGAACCTTTATTCATCAAACGTAATGCAGGCCATTTGCTGTAGGCTTTAGCCCTGGTGTTCTCGGTGTACTGGTTTAGGTGGGCTGTCTGTTGTGAAATCAGAGAAACATAAATCGTTGGCTCTCTGGCCTTACTCATTAACCCTCTGAGTGTTACGGCCGGAAAATTTCGTATAGAAGGCTGACTTCTATATTCATTATACATGAAAATTTCTCCTAGCTTTTAGTGTATCTGATTTCGGTTTGGATGTATATTGGAAGAAAAGGAATCAAGGTACAAAATGAGAGAGTCAGTTTTTAATTAAAATCATGAAATTACCATTTATTCATGACATTTTGAGGAACTTTGAAATTTCAGGGCTAAACTCGTAACGCTCGGAGGGTTAAGCTTTTTGAATATAGTTTGCTGGGATACAAAAGTATGGCCTATGGTGAAATTCTGGTGTCCTGCACACTTATGTCTGTACCTGTGATACAGAAGTTCCATTGTGGAAAAAAAAAAAAAAAAAACTTAGTCACATTTTACTGTCTAACCAAGAAGTAGGTGCTTTTCTTTTATGCCCATGGTTCTTGTTTCCTAGAATTAATTTCCGGACCTTTAAATCTTCTTCAGAGAGCTTCAGCTGTTGATCTTGTTGTGTGAGGTTTTCCGATTCCAATAAAAATAAAGTACTAAAATTGACTTACTATATCATTTTTACAACTATCTGATACAGTGAATGCATAATTGAAAAGCATCTTTTTATGCTTTTATCATATTTATTAGTATAATTGAAATAAAAATATCATTTAATTAAACAAAAAGTAACTAGCCAGAACTTATAATAAAATATAATTCCACACTCTCTCATCTAAATATTATTTTTATTTAAGAGTGATCAAACTGAAATTTCTAATACTTAGTTTGTTTTCACGATAACAAGGCATTAAAAAAACTTCTTAAGAAACCCTAAAAATTATAAAGTGACTATATTATTTTTGTGACCATAAACATCATGGGCTGAGAATGTACTTCCCTTTCTTCCCAAAGCCAGATTTTATAGCTACATATTTCTGCTTTGTTTGCTTTTAGATCTCATTTCAGAATTTATTTAGAGGAAACTTTTTATCTTTAATTTACATCAAAACTGAAATGTTGTCTTTGATTTGTCAAAATTTAGAAACTGTTTCCAATAAAAAAAAAAAATTAAATTTTTATTCATCAGAAGCTTTTAAAATAGCTGTACATTTGACATAATTGGGTAACACAAGAGAGTGCCTGAATAACCATAGTAACCCCCCCCCCCCCGGAATGTGCATAGGAATCATTTTTAACCTTCAGTGTATGGCTCTTGTGATTTCTACAGGATACGAAATGCATCTCGTAATACAAGTTGCATGAAAATAGCATAGATAAGTGTATTTCTCTTATTTTCAACACGGATCCCACTTTTTCTCCATGTAGGCTGAGAATATTATATTAATCATATTTCACATTTTGTTTTGCACTTAGATGGCACTACAGGTTTATATCGTTGTAAGGGAGTACTATTGTTTCTTAACAGCTGAACATGATCGATGCTGTTGCTTCTTTCATTGTGGAATGGTAAGAAAATCCTAAATATGCTTAGCTCTTTTCATGATACGTCATCTGTATCAATGTATTCAGGGACGGGAAAAGAAAAACTAAAGCCAAAAGTGATTTATGATTATAACATTACAATGGGTAGTGTCGACAGATGCTATCAGGAGATGTTGAAGTATCTAGTACTTGATGACCCTGGTACCCGAAAACAACTTTGTGAATATTACAAGAAAATATGTGTCCATATATTGGATTAATGTGGAATTTATATATAATATATAGAAAAATAACAAACACGAAAAAAATCCCTTCTTGATTTCAAGCTAGCACTAGCTGTGATCGAGGAAATCTTTAACAAATACTTTTCTGCTATATGCTTATCGGTACAATCTTGTGATGATAATGTGAACTTGATTCACCTTGCTGGAAGGCATTTTGCAAACCACATACCACCAAATTCTATAAAAAAGGAACCGAGAAGGCAATGTGCTGTATGTTTGCTCCAAAAAAGACAACAATGGAGAAAAAGTACATAAAGAGACTCGCATTTGATGTGTGTGTATGTGTGGGTGATTATGGCAAAGCCTCGATGGCTATTTGCCTAAGGGGAGGAATGCCTTCGTGGAGGACTTTCTAAGGGAAAATGGCTCGTATACATGTTACACATGGGAAAACCATGAAAACGCCCATGCAGCCAGCCCGTTCGCGGGATTCGAACCTTGGACCGAACTACCAGTGTTCAGCGACTTTACCCTCGGCCGCTGGTGGGCCCCACATTTGGTGTGAAGAATTTGAAGTTGGATTATGTTTAGAGTCATGGTTCAAAGTTTACCATACTAAAGTAATAATAATAATAATAGTAATAAGTGAGTACAAGTAATAGTATTTATCTGTACACATTAGTTAGCTTGTATATTTATCAAAATCAAAAAGATCCAGTGTATTTTTATATTTTTATTCCATGCACACTAAAATCGTGTGAGCCATATTGTATGTTTTATAAAAATTAAAAAAACTATTAAACTTCCTACACTATACTATTTTTTTATAAAGAAGTGAATGCTATATGAAGATAGAGGGGGCCATATTTCAGAATGTATCAGAATCGGGCAGTACACCGAGAGTTAAAATATTGAATTCAAGTGGAAGTTTTTGAAAATGTGGCCCTTGTGTTATGTTACACTAAAATATATCTTGTATGTGCAATCACTAAAAAAAAGGGGGGAGTGTTATGTATTGATAATTTGTGCAAAAGTATATTTGTATTAAAATGTTTTTAAGGAGAAAAAATAATTTATTTTCTGTACATAATATATGCAGAAATATAATTATACAAAACTGGAGCCATCATTTTCTAATGGCGCAGACAGCACATTATTGCTCCTGTCATCTGCAATACTTGCATGATTTTTATATGATGAAGTAATGTCTCTGCTTTGTACAGATGGTAAACCATTTGGATGAGTTCGAGTCTGAGTTTTTAAGTCTGCCTTTATAATATCTGTAGCTAAATGCCTGTTTTGATCAGAGTTAATATTTGTACAATAAGAAGGTCTTACAGTCACATAATTAGTTTGGCTTTTGGATGCGTCTGATTGAAAACCTGATATAGTGTCTTGCTGATCATTTCGAATACCTAGAGACTTCTGGGCACGATGCTCACTTCTCCAAAGTAAGCCACTGACTTCCTCTTTTCTATTCCATTTATCTCTAGATAACTGAGGAGTTGTATAATCAGAATGGAAATTTGCCTGGACTTTCGTATGTTTGTCTCCAGAACCAGTGCAGGAAGAACGAATTGAGTAAGCATTTGCTTGAAGAGCTGGTCGATTTGTATTATAATCAGTTGTTTCTGTATGACAACTGGTTAAATCACCTTCACTTCACTTCTACTCTCACGTTTCAATTCAGGGTATCCTAGACATCTCATTTTTAGTCGTGAAACATTTGGCACATGAGAATTCACTTTTGGTTTTGTGCCACACTGTGCTTGATTTAAATAAGTCCTATTGCAGTTGCTATTATTCGTAAAACGAGATACACCAGTGACAGTACTGGACAATAAGGATACACTGTTATGATTGCTGTTTGTCTCAGAAAGTAAGTCTTCTGATTTAGACCTCATAAGAGGTATGTTGCCATTATGGGCATGATATATTCCATTTCTAACATTTGAATTTTGATGGTCACCATTTGTTGGTACACCATTTTGACCTTTATGAAGCCAAGCTTTCATTTCATTCTGAAGAGCTCGGACGCAGCTTTCTTGTTGCTGTTCCAGTTCTCGGCGTTCCCTGAAAAGTCGTCGATCTATGCGTTCAGCACAGTCTCCTCTCTCAATGGCTAGACTTTCCTTCATTTTTTGATTTAAGTTAAAAAGCTGATCATGAGTCCTTTGCTCAAGGTGAGTAATTTTTGCCTTTAAATCCTCATTCCTGCTGTCTATGTGCTCTAGTAGCTCCTTCTTATTAGCATCTAATTTCTTTTCAACATGATTAAAAAAAGGTGCACAATAGCACATGTATCCAAATCCTCGAGGACCCTAGAATGACAAGAAAAT